AGCCGCCCGCCGAAGCCGCTCGCTCGCCCGCGGCGCGCCGCGCTATGCCGAGGGAGGCGGGAAGGGGCGGGCACGGCGGCGCAGCCGCTCCTCTACGCTGTCGCCTTACTGGGGGCGGCCCCGCGCGGGGAGCGGGCGGCGGGTGCTGTGCCGCCGCGCCTTCCTTCCCCCTGCGCGACGGGGTGTTGGCCCCTGGAGCGGAGCGGCCCGCCTCTCTCCTCACGCGAGGTGCGAGGCGGCGCTGGGGGGAGGCCGGCCGCGGGGCTCGTCTGCGCGGAGTCCCCTCGCGGGGCTGAGGCGGGACCTCTGTCGGAACGGAGGGCGCTCCTTGAGCGCGGCCGCCAGGGAGGAAAAGGGGTTAAAGCTCCTGCCGGTGCGGCGGCCGTTAGGGGCGGCTGTTGGCGGCGGTGCCCGCGGGGAGGCGGGAGCGATGGCCGCGGCGAGGCGAGCTGCGGCTCTCCGTGTGACCCGCGTCGTGCCGCGGTGGTTGTAATAAAATGTGCGGCCGCCAAGTGTGTCTGTGTTTGTGTCTCGGCGTGCGCGGGGTAGGCTGTCCTGACGCGGCTCCCAGAGGTCGGTGGCCGCTCGGAGCGGCGATGTGCCCGGGGTGGTGCAGCCCTGCGGCCGGCTGGGGGCCGGAGCGGATAGTGGACGCTGTCCTCGCTCGAAGGAGCACCCCAGTTGCTGAGTGCTGTACACGAATAAGGACTGCCCGCAAATTCCGGTCCTGTGAGTTGTACCTGCGTGGCTAACAGGCTCGGTTTGCTCAAAGTGAAACAAGTCAAGGGCAGAAATACTTAGTTCTTTAACGGTACACGATGTTGAATGTTTTACAGTCTGAATGTACGCAAACGTGATTCCTACAGTCAGCCACACAAGGTGACGGCTTGTTCCGTGGATTACCGCCTGCTGTCACGCATGGCATGTGGCCATCAGGCAGTGCTGTGTGCCATCTCGGGGCTGGGCTCCAGCTGCACTCCTGCCTGTGGCACAGTCCTCAGACAATTTTGTGATTAATACAGCAAAACAGATCAATACTTGAATTCACATACAAAGTCTTGCTTTAGTGTGTCCGAGAATACCCATTTTCAGAGGTGAACAGATGTGGAGGCCTCCCCTCCAAGCCTCTCCCCAGATGCTTTCTCACACAGTGCAGCCCACAGTTTGGTGTGCAAGAAGACCTAGCTGCTTGAATGGTGGAGGAGGTAAAATCTCAGAGATTTCAACAGTAGAAGGCAGAGATCTCCTTAATGTTCCCACAGAAGGAAAAGCTTTCATAGGAATTCCTCTTTTGCCTGATTCCAAGAATTCACATGGGCAAAGGATGTTGCAGACATGACTCATAATTTCTGCTGCCTGCAGAACGCTCGTTGCCTGTTTCACCCTGTTAGAGGCCAGTGTGCTAGGAGCTGTTAGTGCATTCTTAGCATCTCCACCAGTGAGTACAAGTGGAGCTGGCTGGCTGTTAGAATAAACAGCATTTTGAAAGTACTGCATTGCTATAAGTACCACGCTACCATTTGTATTTTCCTTACGGTGATCCTAAGAGTTGAGCAGGTATTAAATGGATCCTATTTGGTTATGAATAACCTTTTATTCAATTTAAAGTTAAATAGTAAACCCAATGGGGAAAAAAGGCCTGAAGATATCTGAGGAGTTATTCAGCGGTACAGTCAGAAAATTAACTCTAACAGCATCAAGTATCTCACAGAAAAGGACTCAGCTGCAGACAGCAACAGAACAGCCCCTGCCTCCTTCTCAGAAAGTATGGATATTCCCAGTGAGATGTTATTTTCCTTTGGCTTCTGTTTTTGCTTTGCACCTGGCGTGTTTGAGTGTAATGTTTGCAGATCTCACTATCACATGTGAATCTAAACAGGACACATACCTCAGAGAACACCTACATCTTCAGAAGAGCAGTGTGACATGCCTCTGAGCCAGCTTTCTCTTCTCCATCTTTTCTGCTCATTCTTATTAATGGTCGAAGAGAATTTTCAATACATACAGAAATTTGCTCTGTATATCCAATAGTAAAGTTGGGTTTTCAAGCTAACATTTCTTCTAAAGAATGACTATCTGCAAGCATTAAGTCTTGTAGAGGCAAGTACCTGGCACTGTACTTTCTACCCATTTGTTTATTAATATGCTCCAGAAGTAGTTTGCATAAAAATTTCAATTTCCTACCCAGTGCAGAAAATAATCATTGGCAAGAGGAGACAGTGTAGAGAGAAAGTAGAACGTGTTGCTGCTGACCAAATTTCCACAGATTTCAAGGACTCAGTGGAAAGTACACAGTTACATAAAAATTAACTTCTGTAGGCCTACATGGATGAATGCTGTTATTATTCTTGTAGAAACATATCTAAGGAATCTTATTCGTAATTAAATAAGCATGAAGTAGAAATTAAACTTCTTGTTCCAGGAGAGTAGAAAAAAACTGATTTAGACAGGCACATGCACTTGCTATTCTTTGTTATTAACTGTGTGCCTGTGCCTCCATTTTAGCTATAGTAACAGTACCTTGTCTATCAGCAAGTGAAAGCAATAAGCTTGCTTTTTCACCAAAACTAGCTAAGAATGCGTACTATTGCACATCTTGGAAAATGTGTGCTGATAAATATTTGGAACACTGGTCTCAATTTTGATCAGTGAGCTATACTGATGAATTATACTCCTTCTGCCCTCCTATTCTCTTCAGTGTCTTTTACAGGGAGATTAAGGTATGTGGAGATGTGGCACTGGGGGACATGGGTTACTAGGCATAAAGGGGATGGGTCAGCAGTTGCACTAGGTGGTCTTTTCCAAAGTTTATGATTCTATAATTCTGTTATTTCAGTGTGGTCTCAAGCAAGATTTCATCTCTGGCAAAAGCATCTGACTCTGCACTAAAGAGGCCAGCTAGAGATTAAAATTCTCTTCAGAACTGACCACGTACTCATTTCTAAAGAAGAGTTGTAAAAACACTGTATAAACTCATAGCACACAGTTAATTTTCCAATAGCTAAGGTAGGCTTCTAATTGGGCTTGGGGATTTTCTGATCAGATACCAAACTAGGGGTGCACACTGTGGTTGGGAAAGAACAATGATGTTTTTACGTTGTTGTATATTTCAGGTCTTTAAAATAAACTCAGCCACACAGCGGCTCCCCACATATACTGAAAACAGAAACTGTTGAAGTGTTTGGTTGGTCATAGAGGAAGCAAAACAGAAGTATTTTATCCCTTTAAATTAAGACTTGTGTAAAGTACACAAGCCTTGAATCTGCAGGTAGTTTTAGCCATCTGGCAGACCACACTCTCCTCAGATATGTTCACATCTGTATGCTAAATGAAACAGGTTTCATTTACCCTGTCCACATGACTGTGAATTACACATAAACCTATGGCAGGCATCTTTTTGTGAAGCATTTTGATAGCAGTGTAAACCAGCTGGTATGCTGAGAGATGTAGAAGACCTTGTTATCCAATATCTTAGATTTTCACTTGCATTGAATAACACTTTGCTCATGTTGACTTTACTCCTGTGAAAATCTATGCATCTACTTATACCAACGCAGCAAAAACAGTCCTGCTCTATGCTGTGATGAGTCTTCATGGATTAAAAAACTCAGCAGCTCTGAAAGTCTTCTAAGGTTTGGGTCCTAAAGTTATGCTGGAAATGTGTGGTTACTTACGTTTTTACTGTGAGGAAGTTTGTCCTTGTTTTAGGAAGATTCTGTTTAAAACCTTCTGCCTTATGTTTGAAGTTTATGCTTTTCTGAAGTTTCTATCACACTGTAAACAATATGCTGTATTTTGTACACACAAGTTACCCATGCAGAAGGCTAATGTTCGCAGGAAAGATAACTGACTTAGTCTTAAAAATAAATTGGCTTTGACTTGACATACCAATTGACTATTTACACAAGAAGAAGATGTGGAAATAATTTACTTGAAGAAATGGCAATTTGTGCTGTGCATTCCATTACTATGTGCTCTGAAGTAGCACGATAAGATATACACTTCAGTCTAATAATTTTATTAGAAAATGTATTCTCCATAATAATTTCTAGGCCACTCTACAGGGTTTTATTATTGTAACCACAGTGTACCATAGTAACTATACCTAATATGAGATGCCATTCAAAAGAACTTGCCATTTCATAGAATCATAGAATCATAGAATGGTTTGAGTTGGAAACCTCAAGGATCATGAATCTCCAACCCCCCTGCCACATGCATGGCCACCAGCCTCCCCATTTAATACTAGACCAGGCTGCCCAGGGCCCCATCCGACCTGGCTTTGAATGCCTCCAGGGACACGGAGTCCACAACCTCTCTGGCAGCCTGTTCCAGCATCTCACCACTCTCTTGGTAAAGAAATTCTCCCTGATATCCAACCTAAATCTTCCCTCCCTCAACTTAAAACCATTTCCCCTTGCCCTAAAGAGTTGATTCCCCTCCTGTTTGTAGGCTCCCTTTAGGTACTGGAAGGCTACATGAGGTCACTCTGTAGCCCTCTCCAGGCTGAACAGACTTGGAATTATTCCATTTGAACTCCATTTGAGTACATCATCAGGCTAGTTACTGGTTCTGTAATAAACTGCGTCAGTTCTCCTTGTTAGTTTGGTGGGTTTTTTTATCAGCTTTGCATGTAACCTACATCATATGCTTCCAATCCTTTTGTGCACCTACACCCCCTTGTGCTATCTTTCTTCAGAAGCTGCAGTGCAGACCGTTTTGTTGTGTGCTCAAGGAATAACTGAAGA